CAAGTGATATGATGACCAAGCCTCTGGACTTTTGGAAGACCTTGTTGTTCTCAGACGAATCAAGATTCACTCAATTTTCAGACAGTGGAAGGATATGGGTCTGGAGAATGCCTCACCAAGAGTTTTGGCTCAACAGGTTGCAGCCAACTGTGAAGCATGGCGCTTTCAGCGTGATGGTATGGGGAGCTGTTTGGGTTGGTGGGAAATCGAGCTTGGTGGAGTGCGTTGGCAACATAAATTTTGCGAAATATGTCGAAATATTGGAGGAAGGACTCTTGCCACAAGAACACAACGTTGTTCCAGGAAGATGGAGCACCGTGTCACACTGCTAGAAACACCCAAAAGTGGCAGGAAGAAAATGGTATCCATAAGTTGCCATGGCCGAGCCAATCTCCTGACATGAACCCCATTGAAAACCTCTGGGCCATACTCGACCAGCAAGTCAAGAAACAACCAAAAAAACCAACCTCGAAGAGTGATCTACTCCAAGTTTTGAAGCAAGAGTGGGCGAAAATCCCTCAAACTAAAATTGACAAGATGATTCTCACGATGCCCCAAAGGATCAACGAACTCCACGAAGTGAAAGGAAGATCTGCTAGATATTAATTAAATTATAAATATATCAATTCATGTGAATATGACTGAAAATTTAATTTTTTCTGAAAAGGTGGTGTGTATTTACTTGTGACCACGCTGTGTACATTGCAAAAAACTCCATTGACAATTGAGTTTGTTAACCCATTAACTGCTGCAGGAGCAGCTCAATTGTCATTTTCCGACTCACAGATAAAACTGAGTTGCCATCAATCACAATACAACTGTAATTATCATCATTCACATAGAGTTAAGTTATATATGTGTGACTGACGGATATTTCCGTCATTCACAGCTGAGCCATAAAACTTCAATGATGGAAATATCCGTCATCCGCAGTTAATGGGTTACTATTGCTACTAATAGTTAAAGTATGTCTTTGGGGTAATTCAAACAAATTCTGTGGGTTATGTCGATAAGCTGACTTTTTTAATGTTTCAATTATTTTAAATGTTACTTATAATCAAATAATATTTATTGTACTGAATATTTTTTAGAACTTGTGTAATGTCTCAGTAAATATATAAATAATAATGTTTTTTTATGATTTCAGATCTTATCAGGTATTACTCTTACTGACTGTGGGATCCTGGTTCTAGCCTTTGCAAAGTCTAGGATCTTTCAAGTGTTCTATTTTAGAATGTATCTTGGCATTATTGCATTTGGTACCCTTCACAGTCTGATCTTTTTACCAGTGTTTCTAAGTGTTATTGGTAAGTTCATTCAGACTTGTTTACAAATTACATATTTCAGAATGCTATTTCAATCTCTCCAGGACAGTTTTTTTTTCTATTTCTTTGTTTTTCTTTATTTAAATAAATAACCTTGTTACTAATGTTATGGTTTTTGCTATAACCCAGACTTGAATTGGTAATACTTTCAGCTTATGTATTTATTATGTAGTATTAAAGTATTCTTAGCCTGAAAGATTTAAATTTAACATGAATAGATATAAATTCCTTTCTCATTGTAGTTAAAAAGTATAACTACAAAATTCAAGGTATAGTAATTAGCCTGAAGAAGATTTGCATTGATTTTGGGATAGAATCATTAGAATGTTTAAGATGTAGTTACTGTTGTGTATCTAGAGAATGCTGAATTATGAAAAGTTAAAAGTAATTGTCCCTTAGTTTATGATCAGGTGACACTAGAGCCCAAATATTGGAGTATAATAAACTCTGTCACTAGAGGTCACTAAGTTATGAGTGCAAAATTTAAAATGTTAGTTGTTTGAAACAGTAAAAATTGCTTGGAAATAATTTTAGTTATGGCTGTTTTTTTGATCAGCAGAATTGTTAGAAAACATTACGTTTTAAAATGTAAATACTTGGAATGTATTTCCTTTATGTTAGGAATGTGTACATTTGTATATTTTAATGGTATGCAAAACCTGTATTTTTTTAATTTTTTTTGTAATCTTATCTTGAAGTGCTTTCTCTATTTTGCATTCAGTGATTGGATAGTGGATATTTTGATCATATGTTACTGTTAACATAATGAAGCTTAAAGAATTGGTAATTGTGTAATTAGAAGCTTTCAAGGGCTTTTTCAAAATGCAATGATCACAATACTTGAGCAGCAGTAAGCTTCATATTAAAGACAGCAGCTAAGTTTGTACTTGGAGTCAGCTTAATAAGGGAAATTAAGCCATTTATATAAACTGAAGAAAACAAATATTTCATTTTAACAGCATAAATAGTTCTAATTAGAATAACAACTTGATCTGTTTTGTTTTAGGTCCTCCAGTTAATAAACAAAAGATGTATGACCACATTCATCTGGAGGACCTTCCTCCTCAAGGTGGATTTGCACACACTGATAGCGTAAGTATTGACTTGTAAAGAAAAAGATTTATTGGGATAGTAGGTAACTGACCTTTTGTCAGCAAATGCAAAGTATTTTCTTCTCATTAGAAAAAAAACACTAAAAATGGATAAGGTTAATTGATATTAAACATTGTTTTACATAGTGGCATTATGCCCATAGGCCACAGATGGGCATGCCTCCTCAAAAAACATTTGATTAAATACATTCAGAATACTTTTCTGTATTGGAAACCAGAAAGTTAACAAAAATAACAGTGGAAATTGAATAATATGAAAAGTAAAAGCATGATGCCAGTGGCCTTACAGAATATATCATTAGGGGAAAATAGTATAACTATGGAATATTCTTTAATTTTCAGATGAAGAATCCTGTTTATGTACTTAAAAACAGTAATTGAAACTTCTAAATATCTTGTCATTCCATATGTTATTTCCATAAGGAAAATTGCATATGTTTGTAAGCAAAGGAACTGACTACAATGCATTGTTGGCAAACTGTATTTGGTGCATCGAGCACAATAGAGCATATATATGTATGTATGTGTGTGTATGTATATATGCATGTATATAATACTAACCTGAAAATAATAAATAAATATAAACCAAACAATAACAAATATATACTCAAACTATTCCTGTTCATGCTCCTATCCTTCAGTCAGCTCATGGAGGACATCCTATTTTTCTTTGTGAAATTACCTCACAAAAAGAAACATTTTTGTTCTTAAGTTTTTTTTTCTCAGCCTGACTATTCAGCATGTACGAATACTGAAGAAACGATGTTGATACAGTATGAAATAATAGGAATTGCAAAAAATAATAAGTTTCCTGTAATATACTCTTGAAAAGAAGCATTTTGATATGAAATTTTTTTCTACAGTTAACTGTTCAGGAGATATATGCTATACTATGTTTGCATTTGTCTGTCTGTAACTTTTGTCACAAGTTTCTCGATCAAACACTACAAATCTTGTATCATTAGAAAGGCCTTTGTCCAAGGAGTCTGTATTGCATGTTAGTTTTTCATTCAGGATCACTTTATCTGTTTTGCTTAGTTAAACTTTTAATGCAACGTGTATGGTACATGATGGCACAATGTTGTTCTCATCACGTCATGACTGGCTTCAAGTTCAGCTTTAGATTTTTTTGTTTACAAAGTATTTCACACAAACAACACTTAACCCATTTATAATTTCCTATAAAAATATTAACATTATACTAAATACAATTTCTATGGGCTTTTTTGACTTATTTAGGTCTAAAATATGCATGCACAGGTCGTTCAAAACCATATGCTTATCACTTTGTGAACACATATCCAGACACTTCTGCATATTCAACTAAGTTTGCCTTCATTACAGCTTACATTTACTTTGCAATAACTTAGCTTTGGTTCATTTCATAGACTGCTATACACACCTTTTAGCTAATTTTTTCTTAAGTATGGGTTTTATTCTTCATTTTAGTGACTTTTTTTTCAACTTGTAAAACTGTCAGACACTGAATGCTCATAACTGTTTCATACTCTGTACACTATTATACATACCATTACTATACTTTAGTGTTCACTTTATACACAGTTTTATTAAATATATACACCTGG